CTGTCTCTCTCTTCCTCTCCCTTCTTCTCTGAAATGAATAAAAATATGTTAAAAAAAGAAAAAGAAAAACTTTGTAGTACAATTGTACCAGTGGAAAAGTTACAGGTACAAAATCACTTAGATGAAGTAATTAGAACAATAAGTGACATTGCATTTAAAACTGTTATGTTGAAAGGCTCCCATTCCACATAGCCACACTAAAGAGAGTAAAGCATATTGCTACTCAAGGTCAGAATATTGTAATTTTGAGTATTAGGCAAAAACAAATTTCATGTATAAAGAATCCATAAATAAAATGCTGTCTTTATTTTCCCTTAAGTATAATGCTTAATTCCATGCCTACACTGTACCAGAATATGTAAACTCAGCTTCTTGGGGGGTACCTATTTGATGAAGAGAGATCATATCAGTAAAATACAAATTTATTTATTATGACAAAATTTATGTCTAAATAGAGCTCTTACTAGAAAAATGGTGTTGCCCATTTAACCATATATGAGGCTGCATAACATAGTGAATAAAAGCACATAGGTTTGAATACTAGATTCACCTTTTCCTAGTGTGCAACCTTATACAACTTTACTAATTTTCTGTACATATTTCTTACTAGTGGCCCGGTGCATGAAATTCATGCACATTGAAAGGGAATTAATTAGAGGACGCAGGCCGGCGGGATCGGGTCCCAGGCAACCGCCGGCAATCATTGCGCCTATGTATGCAAATTAGCCGCCATCTTTGTTGGCGGTTAACTGCCATCTTAGTTGGCAGTTAATTTGCATATCTCGCTGATTAGCCAATGAAAAGGGTAGCGGTCGTACGCCAATTACCATGTTTCTCTTTTATTAGTGTAGATGTGTAAAATGGAGAGAATAAAAATACTTAACTCATGGGTAGGTTGTGAATTAATGTAAGTAGGACACTAAAAACAATATTTGCCACAAAAATATTTGCTATTATTACTTGCAATATAAGTAGAAAGAGCATTAGCTTAAAAAGTAAGTAGATAATAGCTGAGTAAATATTGAAAGAATTTTTTTCTGGGGAAAAACCCATCAAGATAAGGACCTAAAGTTTACAACAGTGTAGTTGTGAAGAAGTAAAAAGAAACAGAGATGACATGCTAGATATTGATTATTTCTACCTTAAATCTGTCAGAGTGATAAAATCTTAAAATCACCTTTCCAGCTTACCCTTATAAGCATACTATTGTAAAATGAACAGAGGCTGGCATCTGAATACTTCAGTTTTGCAAATTATGTTCTAAGGCATTGAAAACTAAATATCATTAAATAAATTGCAAATACAAGTGGTAAAGCATATTTATCTACAGATACATTTTCAGGAATGAAAATTTCAGGATATTCCTTATTATTGTCTGAAATAAAGAATGTGTATTCATCTCTTATGTTAGAGTTCCATCTGTAAGTGGAATTAATGTTGTTTTTCATGCAAAATGTAGTAAAATGATAACAAATAGATTTATATCTGTCAAGTCCTTTGAGCTTCTTAGAATGATATCACTGTATTAGAAGGGCAGAATATTTGTAATTGTATTATTGCCTGCCAAAAAAGGAAACATGGAACTAATAATAGAGAGTTAGAAAGTGGATTCATATAACAAAATAAACTACTTGGAATCATTCTAATAATTTACAAGTATTATTTCCTCATATTGGAACTTGGAAAGAACATGACTGCTATTAAAGAATAGAGGACAGATGTCCAATGGAGAGAGAAACTGTTACAGATAGTCATAAATGACAGGCACAATGAAGAGAACTTACAGGAAGAATCCAAATTCCTTCAAAAGATGCCGAGAAGAAAGAAGCAGTAAAGCTTTTGGCACTATGTTGTCTGAAAATGCATTGTCATCAGTTTCCCTGAGAGAGATATTGAAGGTCAAAGGCAATACAGAAGAAGCAGTTGATTGTGCTGGAAGAACCAATTGATATGAGGAAATAAATTATATGACTCTATGAAGATTGAAGATAGCATTGTAGTGATGTATATCATTGGAGTAATTTAAGTGTGTTTTCCCCTCACCTCCCTCTTCGCTTTCTATAGTTTAATTACAGAATTATATAATATCCTTTCATGTAATAATTATCAGGATAAAACTTTATGTACTGAGAAGATAGGTCAGTTTTGACTAGAAGGTGATTTCAAATAGGATTTTTCAAATTTTAAAAAATACTTCTCTATAAAATATATGCTTTTGAGCCAATGAGAAGATAGCTGTTAGTTTTATATATTATATAAATGTAATGGAATCTTATTAAAATGTGTCTGTTGCTTGCTCTGATTTAAGACTACATTGTATAGGAGACCTCCATTATCATGAATTCACTTTAGCATTGTGACACCATTGATTTGGTTCAAAAGAGATTCACACGATGCCAATTTCCCACTATTGTTAAACAGGGTACTTAGAGGTTTAGTTAATTATGGTACTTTGATATGTGATCTATTTGTTGGCCCTATTTACTTTCCTCCTTCACTTCCTCTCTTTTTGCCATTTTTAAGACTTTTCTATACTGCACCCTGTCCCTTAAGATAGAGTGTTTCTGTGTAGTGGATGGATTAATGAATATCATCATCAATCCTCCTATATAATAAAAGCCTAATATGCTAAGTGTCCAGTCATCCTGTTGGCTGTTCAACCAATCAAAGTATGATATGCTAATGATATGCTAAGGCTGCTCAACTGCTCTCTGACATGCACTGACCACCAGGGGGCAGATGCTCCAATAGGTAGGTTAGCTTGCTGCTGGGGTCTGGCAGATTGGAACAGAGCAAGACAGGCCTGGCATGCCGTGGACCCCTCCCTCAGTCCCTGCTCAGCTGGCCAACCTCCCATGTCCCTCCCCGACCCTGATCGTGCACAGGTGGGGTCCCTCAGCCTGGCCTTCACCCTCTTGCAATCCAGGACCCCTCAGGGGTTGTCACAGAGCTGGTTTCGGCCCAATCCCTCAGGCCAGGCCAAGAGACCCCACTGGTGCACAGATTCATGCACCGAGCCTCTAGTATTAAATAATAATTAGAGAAATGGGGGCTGCTTTTATGTAATATTGAAAGCAAATCTTAGTATAAATGGACCTTCCCTCATGTTTATCTTGAGTGATAATAGCAACAGTATTCACAATGATGCTCCAGTTTATCTTTGTTCAAACATTAGTTATTACTCTTTGCCTTCTAAACAAAACAAAAAATACCTTAGGATGGAGGTCAGCAAACTTATTTTTTAGAGGTCTATATAGTAAATATTTTAGACTTTGTAGGATGTATGAGCTCTTTCATAACTATTCACCTTTGACAGCCCTGTAGCACAAAATCCGCCATAAGATGATATAAATGTGCCTTGCTCTACCCCAATAACATTTTATTTATAGACACTGAAATTAGATTTCATATAGTTTTCACATATCATGAAATATTTTTCTTTTGCTTTTTTTCAATCATTAAAAAATATAAAGATCACTCTTAGATTGTAGGCCATGCCAAAAAAAAAAAAAAAAAAAAAAAAGCAGCAGGTAGGATTTGTCCCATTGGCTGTGGTTTGCTAACCCTATTTTAGAACATTCCTGTTCTGTACTAGCATATACTCTGTTAATTAAAAGCCCATAATTTTTGAGCTTTCAGAAGATTGCTGTGAGAATTTAAGACAGAGAAAGGAGATGTCCCACAAGAAATTAACACTTCACAGACTCAAATATGTCCTGAATACCTATTTTAAATGCCAACTACTGTTCAAGATATTGGGAATATAGCAATAACCAAAGAAGTCAAAATTCCCTGCCTCTTTAGAATTCACATTTTAGTGGGGTGACACAAATATAAGTAAACAAGGAACAAGTGTTGTATTAGGGATGGTGATAAGTACTATGGATAAAAATATACCAGGGAAGGTGGATAGGTAGCAGGAAAGAGGATTGTAATTTTAAATAAGGCCATCAAGGAAGGCTTCGTTGATAAGGTGACATTTGAGGAAACATCTAAAGTAAGAGAGGGAATAAGCAATGGATCAAGTAGGACCTGTATCTTACCCTTAGAGTAATGGAGAGTTTTGAACAGAGGTGTGGCATGATATGACTTATATTTTAACTGGGAAACCATTTAAGAGGCTATTGAAATAATCCAGGTGAAAAATTATAGTGACTTACTAGTAAACCAGTGATAGAGGTGGAGGTAGTGAAAAATATATTATTGATACATTTTGAAGGTAGAGATAACAGATTGGAGTAAGAAAAAAGTTAAGTATAATACCCAGGATTTTGACTTGGCAATTGGAAGGATGGAGTTGCCATTTACTGGATAAGACTGTGGGAAGAGTAGATTTGAAGAGGTAGATCAGGAGTTTTACTTTGATCATGGAAACTTGAACTGCCTTTAAGATATCCAAGTAGAGATGTTAAGTTGGCTGTTAGATATTTGCATCTGGAGTTCAGAGTAAAAGTCTGGCTAGAGATACTATTTTTTTAGAGTCATCAAGATCTTAATGGAATTAAAGCCCATGACAATTGATGAGCTCACCAAGATATTGATTAGTATTACTATTTCTTTATTGGTATTTCTGCCCCTGCTTCTTTTCTCACTCACTTTCAAAGAGGTAGGTAGCTTCTAATAACCTGTCCCATCTGCTTACACACAAAGGGTGGAAGGGATTCCACTGAGTCAGAAATCTGACCTACACAGAAAGTACCATTAGTAGGCCATCCTCAAACTTTGCCATAGTGTTAACATGGGAGTGAATTTTCCCAAGTACCTCCTTGCTGGAAACTGTTTGCACTGGAGGTAAGTGTGAAAGGGGCGGTTGTGGGAAATGATGGGGTGAGGGCTTCCTAAACCTTTCTCAAACCTCAGAAATGGCTTGATTCTGAGGAAGGGTGAAGGTTCAGGCTGGTTCTTACTTCCATGAACCAGTTCATACAGCCCTAAATTTGATCTGCTTTCCTCAAACTGGGAGTCAGAAATCCCTTTTCTCTTCTGTTTTTCTGCTGCAGAAATTCCCAACATTCCCATTTTGTGGGCTCCAGAAAGGGGTAAGCGAAGACTTCAATCCCAGCCAATCATTTCCAGATTAATAATTTTTAGTGTTTTGATTTTTTTTGTCATTATAAAAATGCTTCAACCCATTTTCCCATCTGTTTAATTTTCTTGTGAATTGTATGTATCTATGTTCTAGGGTCACTCTGTATCTCTGGGCAATAGAGTTCTGATCCATTAGCTATTTCCATTTGTGTGCTGTTCTCTTATGGATTTTCATATGCAGTTTATTCGTGACTGTTTCCTAGATGGAAGACACCAAATTCAGGAGATTGCTTCACTCTGTCTCATTTTTTTCCTGAATGGTGTTTTGTTCCCCTGCTGACAGCTTTTCACTACCCTACCCAACTGCTTCTGATGATCTATCATTGCCTCTCTGCTATTCTGTCTTCCTGCTTTGACTGCCTTGGATTTTTTTTCCTCTATTTTTTTTTTTTTTTTGCCCCACTTTACTCATCTGCTGATTAATTTGCATTCTTTACTCACTGGTGCTTTGCCCAGCAGCAAATGGCCTGTTACTCTCATAGCCATTTGCTGTTTTAGCATTTTAGACTGCTCAGCATTGTCTGTCGGCACTCCTATGCCATCTGCCTGCTTGATCTTGCCCTGCCCAAACTATGCCTGTGATATATGTAGGTTCAGATTGTTTAGCACTTCTGCTGCTGATCTCCACTTGCCTTCTGCCACTAAGTTGGACTGCTGATTGAATTTGCTTTATGACTGTCTCCTATAACTATTTGTTGTACATGGCTGCCCCATTAGTTAACTTGAGATATTATATTCATCTCCTATGTACTCAGCCTTGAAACTTGCCATATTACCTCCTTTATACTTCTCTATATCTGATAAATCACTGGCATTGTTCCTCTGTTGTCTTGTAACCCTGATCAGGTTTTATTTCCAAGAAAAGTGTTGCCTACATATTGTCCAAACATATCTTAAAAATAGAAAAATGCTTTGCTTTTTAATAGTACAGTCCAATTTACTCTTAAACTGCCTTTTAAACTCATTTCCACCCATCCTTTTAGCTTTTTTATACAACTATACATTTTTCTCTTTACTAAGAATAGAATTTTTTTCTAAGTTATTTGTTATCTTTGCCTTTTTACATCATAAATTATGTACTTTTTATTCCTTATGTATAGGATATTTTAATAATTTTTCATATACTAAATTTATTTCCTAATTTATTTTCCCTAATATTTTCAGGGCATCATGAAGATAAATTACTCCCATTAATTTCACTTAAGACTAAAAGTATCATCTTTAAAACTAATACATTTATTTATAGTTTCTTTGTAGTTAACATTAAAGTAGCTTTCCACTCTGATCCATTTATTTAATTTATCTTTATTGTTAAAAATATTACAGATGTCCTTCCTTCCCCACCTCCCACCCCCCATTGACCTCTCCTATAGCCCCTGGTAATCTCTGTTTTACTTTCTGCCTCTGAATTTGCCTATTCTAGTACCTTATATAAGTAGAATCATTCATTTTTATTCT